TGATGATGATGATGATGATGATGATGATGATGATGATGATGATGATGATGATGATGATGATGATGATGATGATGATGATGATGATGATGATGATGATGATGATGATGATGATGATGATGATGATGATGATGATGATGATGATGATGATGATGATGATGATGATGATGATGATGATGATGAGGAGGAGGAGGAGGAGGAGGAGGAGGAGGAGGAGGAGGAGGAGGAGGAGGAGGAGGAGGAGGGAACGGCCGAGGATCGTGGAGACCTACGAGGGCCTGGTGGCGGAGATCCTGGAGTCCCGCCCAGGGGCCGGGGGAACTCTTCCCCCCCCGCTCCGCCCTATGGGGTTAAGTCGGGCGTGTCTCTCTAAAGGAGGATAGTGCGAAATAGTAAAACATACTCTGGGGTTGATTTTTGAGCATGTGTTCGATCATGTTTGAGCAATTTTGGATTTGTTTGATGTTTTGTCCAAAATCCGCCCGTAGGGGGGCATGCCCGACCTGAGTTAGCCCTAGGGCCGAGGGCCTCCTGTCTTCCCCCTTCTCCCCGCCATGTTCTTCGCGCCACACGCCTAGTATTCAGAGACGTGGGTGTCGGGCGGGTACTCATGGGGGTGACCGACTTGTGCGGTGAAGAATTAGAACCCTACAGGGGCCCTTCAGGGGCCCGTTTGGGCCCCTGCTGGCTCCAAAGGGAACCCGGAAGAGCCCTTTTGGGGGCCCCTTTTCTTCCCCCCCCCCCCCCCTTTGGGTCACCCATCATGTTCTTCTCCCCGTATCCTCAGGAGCGAAGGAAGAGTCTGTGGGAAAAAAACAGACAGGGTCTGTGTGTTTTTTTCCCACAGGGTCTGTGTGCTTTTTCCCACAGTGTGTCTGTGTGTGTGTGCGTGTGTTTTTCTCTCCGTATCCCCAGGAGCGAAGGAAGAAGGACGTGCACGTGCATGCGTCCCCGTTGGTTTCGGGCGTGCGCATGGCGCGAGCGCTGGCACCACGAGGCCGGTCTCTCGGACCGGGGGGCCGCACTCGTGGACGTGGTTGGGCGCGTGCGTCTGTTGTGGTCCTCCTCCTCCTCCTCCTCCTCCTCCTCCTCCTCCTCCTCCTCCTCCTCCTCCTCCTCCCCCTCCCCCCCCCTCCCCCTCCCCCTCCTCCTCCTCCTTCTTCTCCTCCTCCTTTTCCACCTCCTCCTCCTCCTCCTCCCTCCCCTCCCCTCCTCCTCCGCCTCCCCCTCCCCCTCCTCCCCTCCCCTTTCCCGCACTTCTCCTCCCCCCCTCTCTCTCTCCTCTTGCTTCCAGTCTTCTCCGCGCACCCGCCCTCCCCTCCGCGTCCCTGCCTGGCCTCCCTGACCCCCCCAGCTCGTGAGCCTCGGGGGCAGCCAGAGGGGGGTGATGGCTAATGGGGGTGGATATCATGGCGTGGGCCATGATATTTCCACCAGATTTCACGGCGCCTCTTCTTACTTCATTACGTCCCTGAGCCCCCCCTTGGGCCGCTCACATGCCGCCGGCCATGATCTGCGCACTTTCCTCTTGGACGCCCCCCTCTCGGCCGCATCTGAGAGTCCGACCCTGCATGTAATCCTACGATTGAGTCGGGCCTGTCCCTCTACAGGGGGACTATTCAAAAATGGTTAATAGATAGTACGGGGACGATTTTTTGAGCATTTTTGGATCATTTTGGAATATTTGTTGTCCGTATTTGGGAATTTGGTTTCAAAATCCCTCTGTAGGGGGGCGTGCCCGACCTGACCCTACGTCCGGGAATCGGGAGCTCTGGCTCAGCATGTTTCGCCGCCAGTTCTGGCCCACCGCGCTTCGGCGCGACTCGCTAGCCACGTCCTGGTCGAGCGTCCCGTCCCGCGGAGCGGAGCGACATGCCATCGGCTTGGAGGGCACAGCGTGTCGCCCAGGGGGCCACATGCGAGCCCTACCCCCGCCCCCCACGATTTCTGAGGGGGAGGGTGGGGTTCGCTTCGCTCGGGAGCTCCCGAGCGAAGAGAACCCCCCCGCCCCCCCTCGGAGATCGTGGGGGGTACAGGGGTTGGGCTCGCACGTGGCCCCCTCTCGCCAGGGCCGCCGCTGGGCGCAAGAGTGTCCGGACCCGTCGACCCCAGTGTCCCCTGCTCCAGCCCTGGCCCTGATGCCACTCATCGCGGTCATGGAGAGCTTGTGGGTGTCTCCAGGATCGCTCGGGGGGGTTCCGAGGAGGCCCGCGGAGTGGAAGTCCTCGGGGCAGCGATGCGGGGGCACAGGCACAGGCATGGGGGGGGGGATGCATCGGCCCCCCTATCGCCTATTTTGATCGTCGATGGGGGCCCGATGGCTCCACCCCGCCCACGAACGAGCTGATTCACTGTCGGGGACCTGTGGCCGATCCATCGGCGATGCATCGCCATTCCAGGTCGACGTTTCCTCCCCTCTGCCGGTCCCCCCCGATCTCGGCGGCGAGCGAGGGGAGAAACGAGGAGGAGAAGGCCTTCTCAGAAGGCGGCGGGAATGCTCAGAAGCCCCTCGCGCCTTGGAGATGCTTTTGGTGTCTTGGGGGACGGCTCACAGAACTTCCCAGAAGGCCAGGGGACTTCCGAAACTTCTGAGAAGGCCCGCCCCCTCCCGCTACCCCCCCGGGTTCGCCGCCGACCTTACCTCAAGTCCCAGGAAGGCCGACCAGATGCTTTCCCCGACGCCACTCTTACGAGCGCAGTGGCGTCCTCTCGGTGGACCTGGGGAGGTCTTTGTGGCCTCCGCGGCAGAGAGACGGCAGCTGTAAGCGAATGGGGGCGACGGCGCGACCGACGGGGCTCAAGCGAGTCGTGACGATCGAACTCGGTACGGAAAGAACGGGTGCAGTGCCCAGTTCCTGTTCATTTTGAACAGGACTCGCTGTTCGGGCCGCCGCGCGTGTTGTTCTCTGAAGACAAAAGCCGCCTGCCCAACAGCGGCCGCTGTCGGTTTTGGGCAACATTTGTTGCTGGGCATTGTGCCCATTTTTTCCGTACCCATTTCGGGCGTCTAAAACGAGGATGGTGGTGGCGATCGAGACGCTGACTGCGAAGACGGCAAGTCGGAGGAGGAAGAAGTACCCATACCGGTACAGTGGAGACCCATTCTGAGAAACACCCTGCTTGCTTCCAGGGTGCGCTGGGTTTCTTGGGTTTCGATGGTTTTGCTTTGGTCAGCATGACGTTCCCACACCAAATATCAATGGACGTCCTGGGGTCTCAGGGGTGGGTTTCTTGTGGAAGTTGTTTTGTGGTCGAGCCTCTACTGTACCCTTTCCTCGTTTTCGTCATTGTGGGCCTCGGAGGCCCTCGTTGCCACCGCTGGGTTCGCCTCGAGATTCTGGCCAGAACGCACCCGGGGGGAGAGGTCCCGGGAGTAGCGGTATCGGTATTTCTTTTTGGGTTTCCCCAACAAGGGGTACCGAGGCGCCTGCGGCAGGTTCCACCACCGTGGCAGCGCAGCGTTCTGCGTGGTGGCCCTGAAACCGTGGTGCATCTCGTCCCTGTGTGCCCGAGTGCAGTCACCTGTGTCAAGCTCTTCCGCAGGCTCAAGCAGGCCCTGATAGTGTCATGGGTGCCTTCAGAGGGCCCCGACAGCCACAACATGTGAGACCTCTCTCACTCTGGTCGTCGGAGCCGTCACATGACTCAGCTCGGTTCCCCCGTGGAGAGGGGGCCGTGACGTGCGGTAAGGTGCCTTCCTTCCCTGTGGCCCGCCATTTGCCCAGGAAGCAGTGACTTGATGTGGCATCGGGGATTCGGGCCTCCCGGGAGCTTGCTGGGTTCCTCCTCGGGGGCTTCCTTGGACCTCGTGGGAGTTTTTGATGGCGTCTTGATGCCGTCTTGGAAGATCTTGTGGCAGGCTGGGAAGGCGTGGTGCAGTTTTGGAGGATTTCCCTGGCGTCGAGAGAGCATCTGGGGGCCGCCGTGGGCTGGTCTTGTGCTGTCTTGAAGCCGTTTCTGGGTGATATTGGACGGTTTGGGAGCCGTCTTGGGTTCGTTTGGGGCCTCGGGAGTGCCGCTTTGGCGAAGTCTAAGGGACATCTTGGCGCCTCTTGCGGCCTCTTGGGACGAGGAGGGGCGACATGTAGGAAGCAACGGACAAGGACAACTATTGGTTTGGGCCACTCGTGGTCGCTTGGAGGGCATCCCGGAAGCCTCTGAGGCCTTCTCAGGCGCCTCATGTGGTTTTCTTCGAGACTGTTGGGTCATTTTGGGCCATCTGGGCAGCGTTCCTGGCCCGTTGTGTGACTCCTCTTTGGGCAACCGTCATAGGGTAGGTGTTTTTTATATCCCCACCCTCCACCTTGGCTAGGTGAACTTCCTGGCCGCCCCGGAACAGGCGCCCCCGATGGCAGAACATTTTATACGGGCATTCTTCTGGGGGGAGGAGTCGTCCTTAGATGGCCCTCAGAGGCTCCAAGGCAGTTTCAACATCACTCCACGAGGCTCCCAGATGGCCCGATGGTTCAAACGAACAAGCGAGGACCGCACGCAATGATACGACCAAGCGTGATACGGGATACGCAATTAAGCCAGATGAATTATCGAAGTCGCCTACGGCGAATCACCGCCGCCCCCTGCCCTTGTGGAAGCGCCTATGTGTCCGACAGCTGGGCTAGAGCTTGGCCAAGCTATCGGACCATGTGTTCCCCGAGTCGGTTTGGAAAGGTTTTGGGGAGCTGGGGGGAGGAAGGGGATGAGGAGGAGAAGGAGGAAAAAGGAGAACGGGGAGGATGCCTCTTCGGAGCCTCTTGAGGCACTCTTGGGCTCGATTGGGCCATCTTGGGACCGTCTTGGAGACCATGTTGGGGCTATCTTAGGCTCTCTTGGGGCCTCTTGAGGGCCTCTTGGGGCTTCTCGGGAGCTTCTTTGGCCGTCTTAATAGCTTTCCTGGCCCGTCTGACGCCGTCGGGAGACGTCGTGGGGGCCTCTCTGAACCGACTTGGGGCCCTCTTGGGCGCTTCGGGTCCATCTTGGAGGCCATCTTGGGCGTCTTGGAGGCCTCTTGGGCCGTCTTGGGGCCCTCTTGGGGCCTTCTTGGAGGCTTCTTGGGCCGTCATGGGGCCATCTTGGAGGCCTCGTGAGCGATTTTGGGGCGATCTTGGGGGCCTCTTGGGCCGTCTTGAGGTCTTTGGAAGGCCGAATAGACGCAAATGCCAAAAAACCCTTCAACACACAGAAGGACAACCAATGTTGTTGGCCTCTTCGGGCTCTCCTTGAGGACCTCTTGGAGGCATCTTGGGGGGCTCTCGGGGGCCTCTTGGGCCGTCTTGAACCATCTTGAGGCTATCTTAGGCCGTCTTGGAGGCAGCTTGGGCCATCTTGGAGGCATCTTGGGGCCATCTGAGCCGTCTTGGAGGCCATGTTGGCCGTCTTGGAGGCGTCTTGGAGGCCATCTTGGGCCGTCTTGGAGCCGTCTGGAGCAGGCCAAACCCTTGGCAACCACCTCTGGGCAATCTGGAAGATCTTTCCGGGTGGCCGGCGGGACGGGCCGAAGTCCCAGGGGGACCACCGTTGCGGACAGCGTCCGGGCCTAGAGCAGACCAGGTGGGTGAGGCCATGGCCTCTAGGATCTGAGGTGTCTGGATTCATGCAAGGCGAGACATGTAAAAAGTTAGGAGGAGAGGAGGAGGAGGAGGAAAAGAAAGTCCTTGGTGTCGGTGTCGGCGCGGGTTGGGCGAGATTACGTCATTGGTCTGAGTCCAGGGTGCTGGTCGACGTGAGGTCGGTGAAGTGTTGCTCGAGCGCTGTCCATGCATCGGTGTCTTGGGCTGTTTGCGTCCATGTGATGTCGTTCGGTTGTCCTTCCGAGGGAAAAAGAACCCCAAAAACCGAAGGGATCTAGCACGCCAGGCACCCCTGCGATGAATCGACAGGGGGCGGCAGATCCAACGGCTTTCGGCCCATCCCGCCACCGTGCCTGTGTTGTGGGTATGAAGCCAATTGAATGTTAGTTGGGATCTCGTGGGGGGCCTCTCGGGGGCCTCTTGGAGGCAGTTTTCAGGCCTCTGGAAGCCTCTTGGAAGCCTATTGTGGCGTCTTGGAGGCCTCTTGGGCCATCTTGAGGCCGTCTTGGGCGCTTTGGAACGATCGTTCGGCGACTCGGGGCCCTCTTGGATTCATGGGCCTCATTGAGAGGGTTCGAGAGGTCGCTTTGGGGAGCACAGCGTCCACAGGAGGCGCAGGAAACACCTCAGAACTCACTGGAGCGAGCACAGAAAACCCCAGGAGGACCTGTGACGCGACTGCTCCGAGCCCTTAAATACTTACGGTTCTCGCTGCAGAAGCAGCACGTCGTCTACCCTTCAGTGCAGCATGAAGCCTGGGGCACTCCACTGTGGCGGATTCGTTCCGAGTTCGAGACCGCCGCCCCCCCCCCGCGGCGCGCAGCGGAGTGGTATAGTGCCAATCTGGGTTCCTGCAGCTCTCTGAAGGGCGCCCCCGATGGGGGGGCGCCCCGTTGTATTGCGCGCTTCGCCCGCTGTGCTGTTCTGCTCTTGCCACGCTCTTGGGCCGCCCTTGGACCGAGTTTGCCCCCCCCCCCCCCCCCCCGCTGCAGTGTCTATAGCGATCCCACCCCCCACCCCCCGGAGCGGCCTCCGGCGGGTGCGCACGAGATCACAGCTGCATAACGGCCGCGTGGGCCGGCTTGCCCCGTCTGTCTGACCAGGGCATCCGAGCCGCCGTTGGCCCGACGGCATTGCTGGTCTCCCGGTGGCGGCGGGTTCTTGGATGTCCGATGGGGAGGGACGCAGCAGAGAAAAAGAGAGAGAGAGGGAGTGAGGGAGAGAGAGAGAGAGACAGCATTGTGTAGATCTGTATGACTATCCTATGTATGTACACATAGAGAGGGGAGAGAGAGAGAGAGAGAGAACAAACAAAAAATAACGACGAGGAGATAAAGACAGGGAGAGAAGGAATGGAGGCCATGGCTTTGTATCAGCATGCTGGTGTGTCAACGTGTTCGTCCCTGCTCGACCTGTCGTGCTCATACTAGCATTCAAAGCGACGCGAACAGAAGGAATGGAGGCCATGCTCAATTTTTCTTGGCAGCGAATGCCCAGAGAAGCAGTCAGTTAACAAATCTGGGGGGTCCTGGACATCGGGCATTGGGGGGCCACCTTTGAGATTGCAGAGCATCATGTCCTGAACAATCTATTAATCCGGTGACTAGGCTCAGGTCGGGCCTGTCCTCGTACAGGCGGATTTTGGAAGAAAGCTAAATGATAGCCAACACCTACAAACATAACCAACCATAATCGAAACATCGTCCCCAGACTGTTGTTGAACTGTTTTTGAATATTCCTTCTGCAGAGGGACATGCCCGACCTGAGACCAGGCGAGCTGGCAACGGGTGCGCGATCCGAGGCACCCATGGGGCTCCACTCTCACGCGAGAGCCTCGGGCGTCCAGCACACACAGCCTCGCCCCCGCCGCCGCAGGGCGACGGGCTGGTCGTCTTCTGGAACACGCCCGACGACGTGTCGGACCACGCGGCAAAGGTGCCCTCCGGGCGAGCGCGCGCGTGCGCAGAGACGCGCTTAGGTCAGGATTGGAAAAAACACACAGACACAATTAACCGTCGATACCCAGGAAAATATGGGAAAATATGGGAAGTGGGGGGGAAGACAGAAACCCCAAAAATATGGGAAAATATGGGGAATCTTTTTATTTGTGTGTCCCAGTTCCCCTTCATTAGGGGCACGAGCAGCGGCATGGACATGGTAACTCCGAGGTCCGCGCGGATGTCTCTCGGCTCGGCGGCGGAGGGCCCAAGGCGGCGCCTCCGTTTCTCCGCTCCGGGCGCGCTCCGGCTCGTGCCCCTGACACTCGGAGGTCCGCGCGGAGTTCTCGGATCGGCGCCAGAGGCCCGCTCCGCGCGTCGGGAGGGGGGTCCAGCGCGGATCCAGGAAGTCCGCGCGGACCTCCGAGCTTTTATGTTTTGTCACCGTTCGCTCCCCTGGAGCTGTAGCGTCATGGAAGCACGGGCAGTTCGGAGCGGGGATGCTCTGCAGCACCCGCTCGCTGGAGCCGGCGGGCACCCGCCTCGGTGAGTGTGGCGCGGTGTGGACATGCTTCTGTCTTCAAAGCGCATGTAGCTGAGATGCGTCATCGCGTTGATCTAATCGTGGGTAGATCTGGATCGAGATGCGACCCCCGTGCAGGAGCCACGGCCTTGGCTGCTGGGCCAGCACGGCGAGGATTGATGTGGGCTTCGCAGTCGATGCCTCTCTTGGCCGTTCTCAGTAGGAACGGGGGGGGCCCTGGGGGAGAGCACGGACATGGGGGAGGGGGGGAAGCATCGAGTCGGGCCTGCCCCTCTACTTGAGGAGTATTCAAACATAGTACAAGATTGTATTGGGGACGTTATGTATAAGAACAAAAGAAATCAACAAAACACACACACACATACATGTATATACATATATATATAAGAACATCGAATTATATATAAATATAGTATGTTCTCATTCATTTTCGAATATGTCTAGGGTATTTTGAAAGTTTTCGTCCAACATCCGCCTGTGGGGAGACATGCCCAACCTAAGGGAAGCATGATACGAAGGGCGTTGTGGGAAGGGGGTGGCATGGTGGTACACTTGGAGGGGGAGGAGGGTCTGGAGGGCCACCTCCGCTGCTGGTTTCAACGTCCGCCTCCAATTCGCCACCCCTTCCTCTCTCTCCTGCTTGCTCCCGCCTCGTTTCTCCCTCCTCTTTTCTCCCTCCTCCACCCGATTCGCGCCCTCCCCATCCATGAATTACATGTGACAGCGGCCTTACGGGCAGTTCCGCCGACTCTGAGAAGAGAACATCAGACTTCGGCGCAAAAGGCGGAAGGGGAGACGATAGCAAGGGCCAGTGGCGGCATCAATGCGAGGGCGAGAATCTTTGGGCCGATTGGGGGATTTGGGGCTACCAACACGTCTCTGTGTTTTTGACGTCAGGCAAGGATTTCCTCTGTGTTAGTTTGACTCAGGCCCACCCCGCGCGACCGCGAGTTTCTCTACTCTATAGCCGCTCTGTCCGCAGATATTCTAGCCCTCAGTGTTACCAGCCTCCCCGTAGTGGCATTGTGCCCGTCCTGTCACTCGACTTGGTCGTGTTTCAGAGTTGGGGGCTCCTTCGGGCCGTCTCGGGGGCCTCTTGGGGGGCCCCTCACAGGGGCATCTTGGGCCAGTCTTCGGTGCCTCTTGGACTGTGACGCTCTTGCGACCGAGACGGCGGCTACAGTGGTGCCCACGTCAAGAAGCACCCTGCTTGCCTCCAGGGTGCCCTGTTTCTTGGGGGTTTCGACGGTTCTGCGACGGAGAGCGCGACGTCCCCACGCCAAACATCCATGGACGTCCTGGGGTCTCAGGGCTGCAGGGTTGGGCCTCTTGTGGAAGGCTTCTTGCGGACTGGCCTCCGCTGTATGCCCAGAGAGCACAAAGCCAACGGAAGGGATCCCGCCGACCTTGGCCTCTGCCCCCCCAGGGGCCTCCGAGACGCCCCGCAGGAGGAGGAGGAGGAGGAGGAGGAGGAGGAGGAGGAGGAGGAGGAGGAGGGGGAGGAGGAGGGGGAGGAGGAGGAGGGGGAAGAGGAGAAGAAGACGGTGAGGTGCCAGAGACGGCCAAACCGGATTCAGGATCGCCTGGAGTTCCTCCTTCTCCTCCTCCGCCTCCTCCTCCTCCTCCTCCTCCTCCCCGGCCCCACCTTCCCGAGACTCCCCCCCGGCGGGCAAGAGATCACAGGCACGTGGCTTCCTGGGTCGATTCGCCTCGGGCTGGTGCGCGTCGAGCAGAGCAGCGTCTACTGGCACCATCCCGGGAGGACCACCCCCAGGACTCCACCTCACGCACGCAGACATGGCTGGCGGATGTTTTCCTTTCTCTTCTTCTTCCTCTTCTTCTTCCTCTAGTTCTTCTTCTTGATCACGGCGCGCAGCATCTTTAGCCCAAGCAAGCTTGCTGCCACCCGCCTCGACCGGGCTCCGCCCTGCGCAGGATGCTGGAGGCGACCGAGGACCGGGGACAAAAGCCACACGCACTTGGGCGGGGCATGCAGAGATTCCCTTCTTTCATGCGTTGTTTGGCGCCAGCATCGCAGAGCGACAGAGCGGACTTCGTTCGGAAAACGACAGGGTGGGCCCGGGGTGTCCCGGAGAATTTCGTTCCGGATTTTGAGGTGAATTTCGCGCGGATTTCTGCTGGCCAGGAATGAAGACCAAAAATAATCCACGCGGAACTCACTTTGTTTTTCGCTCGCCGCTTCGGGCAGAAATCCACGCAGAAATCCGCTGCAGCACGTCTGCAAGGCCGGTGCAATGACAGGTCCGAAGAGTGCGAGTGGATCCGCCTCTGGCGAGAGGCAGCCCTGACGGTGCACTGCGCGCGTGCAACGTGTGCGGGTCTTGCGTCGTGACTGCCCGCGTGCCCAGGGAAGCGAGGCATCGTTATTGCTTTAAATCGAGCCTGTCCCTCTACAGGAGGAAAATTCAAAATAGTCAAAAGCTAGTACGGCGACGATTGTTTGATCATTTTTGTTCATGTTTGAGCATTCTGGGGGTAAATTTTTAATTTTCGGACCTGTCAGGAGGAGGCGGAGGAGGAGGAGGAGGCGGAGGAGGAGGAGGAGGCGGAGGAGGAGGAGGCGGAGGCGGAGGCGAGGCGGAGGCGGAGGCGGAGGCGGAGCGGAGGCGGAGGCGGAGCGGAGGAGGAGGAGGATGAAGGAGGAGGAGGCGGAGGCGGAGCGGAGGAGGAGGCGGAGGCGCAGGAGGAGACGGAGGAGGAGGAGGAGGAGGAGGAGGAGGAGGAGGAGGAGGAGAAGGAGGAGGAGGAGCAGGCGGAGGAGGAGCAGGCGGAGGAGGAGGCGGAGGCGGAGGAGGAGGCGGAGGAGGAGGCGGAGGCGGAGGCGGAGGCGGAGGAGGAGGAGGAGGAGGAGGAGGAGGAGGCGGAGGCGGAGGCGGAGGAGGCGGAGGCGGGAGGAGGAGGCGGAGGAGGAGGAGGAGGAGGAGGAGGAGGAGGAGGGTTGGGTTGGGTTGGGTAGAGGGCGGGCTAGTCTAGCCCACCTGCGCCGCCGCGACGGCTCCGCACAGCCGCCGAGGCCTGGCGGCCTCAACGGCTCAGGGCTCCTGCGGCAACACCTTCACTCGGGCGCGCAGGCTGCCGCCGGACGCCGGCCTCAGCCCTCGCACTCGGAGCCGTCGCTGTACTGCGCCGCTGCGCGCTCCCAAGCCACCGCCTCCGCTGGGCTGTGGAAGCCGTGCAGCCGCGCGACGTCGTAGATGTGCAGACGCCGCCAGTTGAGCCCGTAGCCCGGTCTCACTGCAGGTTCCTGCTCCTCTTCCTCGCCTGCGCCGGGCGCCAGCACTGGTCGCCAGATCGTCCGCTCGGCGTCTGTGAGAGCCCTCGGCTGCCCGAGCCGCTGTCTCTGCCTCCGAGGGTGCGGGTGTAGGCCGGCTCGCAGCCGCCGACGCGCCTCTGCGAGTCCGGCGGCCTCGGGGCCGCGGCACGGACCCAGAAGGCTGCCCCGTCCTCTCCGCTGCACCTGCGCGTTGGCACCGCACTGCATGCAGAAGAGCACCGCGTCCTCGTCGCCGCAAGGCCTGGCCAAAATGCTGTGGCCCCTCAGCTTCCATGGCACTGCAGGGACGTGGTCCACCTCCGTGCCGTTGTCACCGGCTCCTGTGGCTTGCTCGCCCGGTGCGCCTGGAGGCAACTGAAGGGCCTCGGGCGCACCAACTCCGTGACATTGTAGGGGCCGTCTGCTGGTCGCTGGGCCGCCCTCGGCGTCGTGCTGGCCACCATCGTGCTCCTCCTGGTCGTCCATTGCGCCGACACTCAGGCCCACGGAATCTCTGACTTCCGTTCCCTGCAGGTGCGCGTGGAGGTCCCCCAGCCATCGCGCCAGCTGCCTGGCTCGGCGCCTGCACGCAGCGGCGAAGAGGCGCGCATCCTCGGGGACGCCCCACAGCCGGGCTCCGCGGCGCGCCAGGCGGTCCGCCGCGGCGTTCCCAGCGCGCCGCCAGCTCTCCAGGTGGCTCGTCATGGCGTTCACCCCGAGGTGCGCCTTGACCTTCACGACCTCGACCTCCTGGTCGCCCATCTCGGCCCACCACGCTGACCAGAGGTGCCGCCGCACGTTGGCCTCGCGCATGGCGAAGGCCCGGTCGCGGGCGCACTTCACCGTGCCCTTGCAGTCGCAATGGGCCCTGAGAGGGCCCTGCCCGAGCTGCGACAGCATCTTGAACGCGTAGTCCTCGCCGTCGCGCGCCTCCTGCAGCGGCGCCTGCGCCAGCGGCACCACGCCGTAGGCCGCGCCCGTGATCTCCCGGTCGTCGTTGAAGGCCACGATGGCCCACCCTGCCCGCCTCAGGGAGTCGTCCTCCACGTCGAAGGCGCTGCCGTCGACGAAAACGTCACCCGAGAAGAACCCCCCCTCGGGTCGCACGTGCCACACGAGGTGGTGGGCCTCTGGAGCCTCTGACCTCGAGAAGCATTGCTGCGCGGAGGGCAGCAGACCTC